CGGGAGTTGCCTTGGCACCGACTGTTGGAATCGAGAGGTAGCCCTTGTCCCATGGTTGATTCAGGACTATCCGACTTATTTTATGAGGCACTCGAACCTAACTAATCTCCACCAATTCATGAAGAAACTAGATTAGGGGTACGACACTCTATAGTTGTTAGTAATGAAATAAATTGGATTACACAAGTGAGTGAGTTGACCATGACCTGATAGATCCTCACAAGTGAAAAGGCTGGGTTAGTCCGTGAAGAATGTAGCTATCAAATAGCCATCGATTTTATGTCGGAGGTAATTAGGAGGATATAAGGTTGGCATATGATCATGCATTTAGTCCCGACCACATAGTTATTAAAATTATGGTCTAGTGTGATTTAGGGGTGCATGGTTTGTATTATTGCGACCCTAAGTTGTGCATTATTGATATAAATATATGATTATATGTTTGAAGCCTGATCACATGGTTGTTATTGGTGGTCGAGGCTATACGTTATCTTTCATGTTTATGTGTGTATTTATTGCCAATTACATCCATTTTTAATTGATATGTAACTGTATAGATTAAGTAAAACTTGATTATTGAGTGGTTATACTCACCCCTTAATTCTCAATATTTTCAAGGCCTAGCTCATCAAGTCAAGACCAGGGAAAACGAGCTGAGGCATAGGATTGTAAAGTAATCCTTTGGATGCCTCTTTATGTTGTTTTATGTGTATTGAGATTGTTAACTTGCCAACTAGGAATCACATGAATATTTTTGATACTACTTGCATTATTACTGTATCACACTTGTGTATTTTATGTCCTAGGTTAGTGAGTTTTCATTGCAAACCCTAGTATAGGGCCAAAATATTTGTGCAAGTAGGAATATGTGTATTTTGAATGGTTTGGAGTGAAAATGATTGCTTTGTACAAGAAATTCCTCCTCCTTGTGTCTTATGTGTTATGGGGTTGAGTGGTAAATTTGTGATACATGTGTTTTTGGTTGAGTATAGTATATTGTATAAGTTTTATAGAGTCTATTGAGTGTGATTTAAAGGTGGTTATAAGCTTATGGCACTTGATTGTGATTTTGGACACCTTTGTTATGTTTTGAAAACATAAATGGGTAAGTTTGCAATTTAGTGTCCAATTTTTGATTGAGAAATAATTTAAATGTAAAACTAGTGCCATTAGCTAGAGCTTGAAAAAAGCTTTCTATAGACACTTAGATCACCTCAATTAGACGTTGGATGGAGATTTAGTGAGTGTCGAAAGTTCAGGCAAAAAATCTGCATGGATTCTGCAGTTTATACTGCAGCATAAAATTTTATGTTGCAACATAATTGTCCTAGAATCCTTTTTTTTTTTGCTATGTTGAACCCAATTTGATGTTCTCTTACCTTGTAAGATGTTTATGCTTTCGTATACATGTTTTGCTCTGATTTTATTTTTTTAAAAATGATTTTAAATAATTTTATAGCATTTTAAATTTTAAAAACTTGATATCCCATTTATGTAAATTTTACAATCTTGGTAATTTACTTGAATTAGTCTCATGATTACTTCAATTATGAAGTTAATTATAGAGTAGTAAGGGAGATCTTACAAAAATAACATGAGGATATAAGGGCGTGTATGATCATGCATGATTATATATGTTGTATGAACATGGTTTATGGCACACTTTACATGCTCATTTACATTTTTGGCTTGCTTGTGAATAAATTAAATTATTTAGTTGCTAAGGCATTGTTCTTATTGCTACAGTTATCATTTTACAAATTAAGATTTCACTTAAGGCAAAAGGGAAGCTTTAGAGGGTAAAAAGTAGAGTGCTACTTTTGTAATGCTCGTTTAATTTTTTGCATATTTGAATATATCACTTGTCAACTAGGTTATCATTATTTTGGCATACTTGCTTGAATATCAATTTAAGTTATATTTTGTTGTATTGTGGCCTAGAATGTGAGTATTGTGACAAGATTATTGTTTATAGCTATAATACTAGTGTAAATGCTATTTGTGCATTTATGAACTTGTTTTGATTCACCATGAGGCCATTAGGCTTGTTTGAGATGTAATTAAGTATGATGCCCTTTTTTTATGATTATGGGGTTTTAAATGGTCAATTTATGTTCTAGACTATATTAATTGTACATGATTGTTCATTTAGGTGTATGCTAGTTCATTAGGAGTGATTTAAGCCTGGGTTGAGGGTAATGGCACATGATTTAGGTTTTGAATACCTTGGATATGTAAAAGTTTGAAAAAGAGGTTGTTTTGTATCTAGACATCTAACTTTTAAATGAGATATTGTTTTATTGTAAGACCTATGCCATTAACTAAATAAATTAATTAGTTTTGCGTAGGTACTTAAGTACCCTATCAGATTTTAGAGTTATGGCATGTTGAAAGTTTGCTTTAAGTGCTATCACGACAGTGACATTGGATGGAATTATGATACATGTTAGAAGTTTGCTTCGAGTACTATCATGGCAGCAAAACTTGTAGTCATGAAGCATGATGCTCCGTGATGCATGTTGCAAACGCCATGATGCATGACAAAGCAACTAATGGCTACTATGTATAGAGCACTTCACCGTGATGAATATCTTTTGCATTGTCGACTGCGATAAATGTGTTCTATGCTGTGGTGGATATGTCAGTTGATTGAAAAATGGCCTTCTTGCCCTTGTTATGTTATGTTTTCCCTTTTTAATGTTCTTTCATGCTTTCAATTGTTTTAATATTTTGCTTTTGAAATGTTTGAGCTCAAATACCTTTGGAAAAAATCACTTTAAATTGAAATCCCAACCTTACAATATTTTATTTAATTAAATATCATTTGATTTATTTCTATCATGGTAAACTATAATGGTTATTAGTCAATCCCTAATTATCATGATATGGTGATTGTATGTTAAGTGTCTTAGTAATGTAAAAAAGACACTACAACCGTAGGCCTCCTTCCTGCATATTTTTGTCCTGCTTCGCCAGAAAGCGTTATAAGATCCCTCATTGCAAAATTAATTAGGTTTTAAAAGACTGGGACGTTACAATATCCTCTAGTGTTTATGTGGTGCGCTCAATCTACCTATCAGTCTAGGAGCGGTAAACACTTAGATCGTCTCAATCGGACGTCGAACGGAGATCTTAAGCAAGTCAGAAGTTGCCAAATTGCTGTTAAAAAGAATGCAACGCACCATAACGCGTGGCACAAAGAAGGCACACCGTGCCACATCTATCATTTAGGGCCAAAATGAATTTTCAACTGTCCCCTATAATTTTAAAGTTTTTATAAAAATTCCATGCTTTTATATCTATAATGCACTCTAATTTTGGTTTACTAAATGATAATATTAAGTAATTTCAATTCACAAAAACTTGAGATTTTCGGTTTTGTAAATATTATACACTGGGCAATCCAATAGGGTTACCCAATAATTAACTTAATTTTGGTATTAATTGTGACTAGTAAGGGCAAACTTACAACTTGGTATCGATTTATCGAGTTTTGAGAACCAGCCTGTGGCTTATGTTTGTCATGTGTGTTTGGCTTATACTGGTGCATTGCATATAGAATTGACAATATCTTATTACCACATGTTGTTTTCCCTTACCAAGCTAATGCTAACTATTTTTTCCTTTTTGAGATTACTTTCATTCTTAGGAAGGGAGAGCATGGTAAAACATCAATAATGTTCCAAAAAATGTGTAAAGACTAGAGCAAGGGGTCTGGTAGGTCAACAAGTAATAACGGTAGTGCAAGAACAAGGAGCAGTAAACCAAGAACAACAACGGGAACAACAAGATCCTTAACCGAGAAATAATAATGATGTCTTGAAAGAACCAAGGCAAATGATAAGAAACATCCAAAGAAGGATAGATGGATATGATGAGATCCTTAAAAAGAAACCTAAGGAGAATAGTAAGACAACAGAGATAGCCAGTAGTAATCCCAAGGAAGTTCGTGAAGATATGCACGCTAATGTGCACGGTCATGATGATGAAGAGTATTTCAAGGAAAGTATACCTAAGAGATCGATACGACTAGTGCAACCTAAGAAGAGAGAGTCTGAGAACTCTATTGATCTTGTGCTAAGGAGGCTCACGAGATTGAACCCTCTATCTTTAAAGGTATAATGGAAGATCAAGTTGGAGAAAAGTGGATCAACAAACTTGAAACCATCTTCTCAATCATATCATATACCACTGAATAGATGGTACTTCTCGCCACCACTTTTATGCTCGAGGACATAGCCACATAGTGATAAAAAAGTGTGAAGTCGACAAATGACTCACTTTTGACATGGAAGGAATTCAAAGGCAGTTCTTCGCCTACTATTTCCCCACCTCCTTTAAAGTTGAGAAGGAGTTTGAATTCCATAGGCTCCAACAGGAAAATATTGTAATTGAATCTGTTTTCCTCTGTGTTTTTATTAATAAATCACGATTTACATATATAGATGAAGGGGAGAGAGAATAAATCTAATCAGATCCCTAAACTCTCTCTTATGAAATAAAACTAATAATAATAATAACTAATTACATAACCTAAAAGGAAAGTTAACATTGCAAGCTCAAGAGGGAAAATTAAATTTGTGTATTAGTGGGTTTAGGCCCAATATAGGCAGAGGCCTATATCCAACAAATATGAATGAAAAGTAGTTCATAGTCAAATTTAATAAGCTATCCAAATACTCTACGTATCTAAGCCTTCATGATAATGAGCACTAAAAGGCCAAGCTATTCCTCAGTCAGATGAGGCCAAGATACAGCCAACAGTTAGCTGCCTTCGATATTACCTCCTTTGAAGTTATGTGTACCAAGTTTAGAGCTATTGCCAAAAAGGGCAGAGCTATAGAGGAAAAGAAAAGGGATGGTCAAGGCAAATTCTCATCATATACAAGCCTTATAAGTAGAGTAAGCAAGAAGTCAAGTTTTACCACAAATGCTAGGGAAAGTAGGAAGAAGAGCTTTCCGAAGGGGACCTTAGTCTAAAGGGTCTAATCAAAGGAGTAATGGCCGAAGAAGTATGGGTAAAGCCTGAAATCAACCATCCCAGCAAAGATCTATGGCTCCATCTACTACTGGACAAGCGAGAGCCCTACAGTGCAATAAATGTGGAAGACATCAAGGACAATCCTGGACCTACTTCAAGTGCTAAGATTGGGCACATATCCAAGTATTGCTCAAAGAATGTTCCTACTCCAAATCATAGACCTTCTATCCCCAAGCGAGTCTTCACCATGACTAGGAAAGAGGCCAAAGTTTCATTGAAGTTGATTAAAGGTAAAATTTCACCAAGTGATAACCCAATAGATGCTTTGTTTTATTCTAGTACCACCCATTCTTCTATTTCTAGCAAGTGTGCAAAAAAGTTAAATCTGTATGTCCTTGAAATATTGTTTTTCGTGAATATGTCTACACCAGTTGGTGCCTCTATTAAAACCAATCGGGCTTGTCTGAAATTAGAGTTAGAATTTGGTGATAGAGCCAAAACTATTGATTTGATTTGTTTACATTTGAGCGGTGTTGATGTAATACTGAGAATGGACTAATTGTCTATCAATAGAGCGAACTTAATTGTAATAAAAAAATAGTCTCACTACCACTTTACACAACAATGACTATTGCCCTTAAATCTAATAAGTCCTTGTCGATTATTATTCTAGAGACTCCCAAGTTCCTATCATCCCTACAGGTAGAGAAATCAATGAACGAAGGTTGTCAAATCTATTAGCAGGAGCATCACGCCATGACAGATCTCTCATTTAGGGCCAAAATGAATTTTCAATTGATATAGAAATCAAATGCTTTCATATCTATAATGTACTCTAATTTTGGTTTACTGAATGATATTTAAGTAATTTCAATTCATAAGAACTTAGAATTTTGAATTTTTGTAAATATTATACACTTACTAATCCTATTAGCCCAATGATTACTTGATTTTGGCATTAATGGTTATTAGCAAGGGCAACCTTGCAATGACAAAATACTCGGGTAGATATAATTGTCTTTAGTACCAGTGTAGTAGAATAGACCTCAATGTAGAATTGAGTGATGTGTTTTATCTTCCCATACTTGTGGAAGAATGACGACTACCCTAGTGTCTCCTCCCTTAAGTGTTGCACATGGCTATGAAAGCCATATTGGCCTGGTTGAAGGGAACAGGTACAGTCAAACCTCTTTATGATCCTTGACTCAACCTAAGGCGAAGTTGAAGTCATCTCACTTTCCACCTCCACTCGTAAGTGCTAAGGTGCCTCCAAGCAAATCTTTCGCCCATCTTGATGCAATTTGAATGCTCATGCACATCTCCTAGAATGAGGTGGCTAATAGAAAAGTCAATTACTATCTCAACTCTTACGTGGCTCTCTCGTAAAATTGTTTTGCCTACCACTTATCATCATCATACTTATAGGGGTATGTAGAATACTTAGCCAACTCCAAGAACTTAGCTATAAACGCCTTCTTATCCAGGTTTTCTTACTAAAAAGCATGAAACTCTACTTCTTCCTCAGCCTGCAGTGCCTCTAAGAAGTAATGAAAGAAGAAGCGACACTTAAACTCTTCTAAAAACATTAGAGTGCCATCAGCTGGCCTCATGCTCCCCCACTATCATTTCACATTTATTTCCAGCAACATTGCTGCTAAATACACCCTTTTTCCCAAGGTGAAAATAATGATCAAGACTCGAAGTGATCGATCCACACCTTAGACAAATGGTTTAAGATTCTCATCAAAAGTTAGAAGGTTAAACTAACTAAAACTCCTCTAAATCATTAAGATATCCAGGGCAAGTAGCTCATGAGGTCAAGCATTGCTCTCACCTAAACCGATCTCCATGTGACCCTTGCCCAAATTAAGCCATCAGGATATCCTTGTGTCCTCTTGCTATTGTTTTATGATCTTGAGATCTAAGAATCTCATTATGCCTTCAAACTCTCTGGTTTATATCCAGAATCACATCCCATACTTCTTAAAGGAGTGCATCGTCCTACAATAGCGATGGTGATACTGATGATGTCGTGTATTCATCATTATCCTCTTCCTAATGATGCAACTACCCTTAGAGGGGAGGAAAAAAACAAAATAGGAGCTTAAGGGCTGTAACATACTACCACCATTATTTATACAAGTACAACAATTAGAACCTCTAGAATTGAGAGGCTTTGATACCATAAATGAAATGAACTCAACCTTACACTTAGGCCATCCCTTGCCATAGCAGAAAAGAAAGAAACTACCATTAAAGAAGAATTCACTTAAGGCTATCATGGTATAAAAAGGGCACAATCATATGGCCACCATGATATAAGAATCGATATAATTCCTCTAATAAAAGCCCTATTATGGTAGCAAAGTTTCAAGCAATCATAAGAAGCTATCATAGTAGAAAAGGCAAAAACTCAATAAATTAATCAAAATAGCTTCCCCTTATGCACACCTACCATATTAAGGAATGATTTAACCAACAAACCACACACACACACACACACACAATCAATCCCTATTGCAAAATAACAGGTGAATCCCAGAACAAATATATCACACAATCTATGTAGGCTCCATCTACTCTTAACATTCTTGCAAGCACCTAGATAGAACTCCGCTCTTTTAACAATCATCATACACAAAAATAAGAATAAATAAATAAAATGAATAAAAAGAAAAATCAAGCTACACAACTAGCACTCTGGCAAATAAATCTCCTTATCAACAGACCTAGAAGCTAAAATAATCCCAAAATAAATAAATGGATATGCTCTTAGGGATGGCAGCAAGCATAGTCGTATTTTGAAGGAATCGTACTTCTCATAAAGCTCAATTCCATTACGTTAATTCCCTTCCCACAACTTCACGCGTGTCTCTTGAAAAGCAAAAGATAAAAAGATGAGACAAAAAGTCTCAATAATCACATTTGAGGTTACAATGCATCTATAGCCGGTCAATCACCTGGTCCAATTAGTTACTCTCAAACAAGAACATACAAGGCAGTAATGTATGCATACAAGATACCTAATGACAAAATTCTCATCTATAGCTAAGTTCAACATGTGCATTGCTCAATAGACCATTTAACTTCGTTTATGGCCGACCAAAGGCCCAGAGCTCCTACCTAGACCATTATCTCCCCCTATCCAAATGATAGGAGTTCCATAACTGATATTGAGCTTCTCCCGACCTGGGCTAACAAATTGAGACTACTTTGGCACAAGGGCATCTCCCTACAATCTTTATATAAGGGCAAATCAGTGAGATCACATACCACCCTACAATCAATACCGAAATATCCATTATGTTTGTGATTAGCAATAAACAACTAAATTTTGATAGCTTCGTTTAAGGAATATAAAAATTAAATTCGTTATCTCCATGTTGATAATTGATAATGTCATCCATTTAACAGCCCCACTGTAGGATCAATCCATCAACAAATAATACTATATAATGTCACATTCTATATTACATATAGCTAATATTGTCAGGGAGAGAGCATTGAAATATCATTGTGCATCTTTATAAGCAAAAAAAAAAAAATTATAGTACAAAGAGCATAAAATGAGTAACATCCTAGAAAATTTAATAGTTTGTGTAAAATGTGCTGGATATTAAACAAAATTAAAAATCATAATTTTAACAATCAAAATCAAAATTGTTGGAAAAAAAATTAATGAAAAAATGTTTTGAAAAGCACCCGATTAAAGTTACAAGGAAAAATAGTAACTACTGTGCACAGGAAGGGATTTGTATTAAAAATTGGTAGCACAAATGTTCTCAAGAAATAATAAACCATTCAAGTAAAATTACTAAAGTGCTGGATATTAAAGTTACAAGGAAAGATCTCTAATTGTAATGGCCTATCCTCATTTTGAAAGGGATACGTTGCTAGTGAGGAAGTGCAAAATATATAATATAAGATGATCAACTTTAAGATTGGAATGCACAAAATTCATAAAAGAAAAATCACTCAATGATGACCAGGTGTAAGTGAATAAAATCTTCCGGATTTACCAACTACCAATCCACAGCACTGAGCATGAGTGACAACCACACATAAGGGCAAATAGAGAACTAGTTTCCCCCAAATATTTTAACACAGGAAAAACATGGAACAAAAGACAATTTTAGTATTAGAAGACAAAAGTGATATAAAGGTGAATTTGGAGTAATACTCTGTAGTGAGAATTTCCTTCAGAAGAACCAAATCTTTCACTCCTTTGGTATCCATTTATATAATTCCAAACAAATTCTATACACCATTTACAAGCCTTCCATTATGTAATTCTTCAACAAATTCCAGCCCTTTTAATAAAAAAAACATATGGGCGGTAAAATTATTGAATTAATTCCTTAATTGGAAAAAGAGAAAGGTAATCATATTCATGCCCATAGATTGTAGAATAAAGTAGAAGCAATCAAAAACCTTACCTCAAGAGACATGAGTTCTTGGCATCGAAATCTCCAATTAGAAAAGTTATTTGAACGAAATGGTCACTGCAAAGAAAAATTGTGATTTTCTGTTAAAGAATGAAGACATTAAAGGAAAACTTATGAAACTACGTGCTTTTATTAGAATGTAATATGAGATTTAAAAAAAAAAAAATCAACCACCCTTGGTAGAACAACAAAGATTTATCATCAGATAAATTTGTCTGCCTTCAAGTTGTAAGTCTTACAAATGATGATGACATATTGAAATAATATAAACATCAATATAAAAACACCAAACCCAACAGGAATTGGATAAAGTTGTTTGCAATTCTCCCTCCCTCGTACACCTTTTTTCCAAAACAAAAAACCTTGGAACAGAAAGCAAAACCATTGTTGACAAAAAACCAACCTAGTGGAAAACGACACCCTGCCAAAGATGAAATTTCCCATTGTTAGGAACCATTTTGGAAGGATATACCTCAAAAGCCCAACAAAAGACACATCCAAATCCTGCATTGATTTAATGTAGGCTACTTACATTAAAGATCGCCATGTATCATTCATGGATAACAAAAGCAAAAAAGGTCAATCCTCGGATAAAAGAATTGAAAAAACAAAACACAGGAAAACTCAGAGTAATTCTAAAAATTTAAAAGATTTCTCACCTACCACTGAGTATATGGGGTTGAAAAATGCATGATTCATCATATGAGGTTGAAGAGAGCAGAAGCGATTGATGTTAGTGGGAGAAGTAGAAACTAAAGTGTGGGGAGAATGAAAGGAACACACACAGACACATATAGTTTTGGGTTTAAAATGTTTTAAATATTAGAAATTAAAAATCGCACTCTTAGAAAGATGAGTTCATCTTCTGGCAATGCTTTTGAGAAAGCCTACATCGTTAATGCATAAAAAACACGATAAGGTGTTTTTGTTTAATAGCCGTTACCTTCAGCGCTGGTCGTTTGAAAGGTGAGGCCCACACGAGTGACTTGACAGACTTGAAGATTGAAATGTCTAAAGGAATGGCATCTTTTTCATTTCTCAAATCAGGATGTGTGTGGGTGTGCGTGGGTGTGTGAGAGAGAGGGGGGGAGAGAGAGAGTGAGAGAGAGCATTTTGATTGCAAAGATTCAATTATTAAGTCAACCAGGGTCTGAGCAGAACATTCTAACAGATACCTAGAGCTTGGGCAGCAGACATCCTTTTTCTATGGTCATTGTTCAAAAGCCTCTTGACAAAGTCTTTAGCTTCTGGTGATATTGATGGCCAAGGTGAATCATCAAAGTTAGGATTAGCTCTTAGCACAAGCCAGAAGATTCTTAGTCTACTTCCACTTAACAATATGTATGTAATAACTCCGATACTCCATAAGTCTGCTTCAACACTGTAAGATCTATGGAGCACTTCAGGTGCAACATAGTAGGCACAGCCAACAATATCATTGAGGCGTTTATCTGCATGAATATGAGAAGTAAATAGTAAGTTTTAAAATCAGGAGACAATACAAAACAAAGAATAATTAAGAACTATGCTTGGAGATGAACCTGTCAAAAAACAGTGAGAAATGCTCTACAGGTAAACCTGTATAATGGAGAATCTAATAACTGACCCATACCTCCAATGCCCAAAGTGCAGAATGACATGACTTCTAAGTCATGTGAATATAAACAAAAATTTCCACTTGGTATTCCTTAGGAACGTTGCCAAACTAAACTGAACTCAATCAGACAGAATATGAAAATAAAGAAAACACAAACTAATTTAAACAACAGATTTTGAATCAATTAACAGCCCAAGTATGTTTTTTTTTTTTTTGAACGAAAAACAGCCCAAGTATGTTAAGTGTGACAAAATGAGTTCACATACAACTGCCATTTTCATTCCTCCATTTCCAACTTCTCACTATTACTCGCATCAAAGAACTCCACCCCGGGGGCAGTTTAATACCAAACACACCATATGAATATGGTAGCAGTAAAAAAATTTTAGTTAATTCCCATAAAAAAATTCTTTTGGTTAAAAGTAAGTAAAAATAGCCAAGGTCTCTTTTGGTTCATCCAACAAAGGCACCGAGAGTATGGCAGAGAGATATGCCAACTTTTAAAAAATCTACACCAAATACAGTAATAAAACTTGAAGATGTATATGCTATGCTATCTGACATCCATTAACAAGCATCATGAATTTGATTATCCTAAGATGTAGTAAGAAATGACTAATTCAAAAATCCAGTAATCCTAGGATTGAATTCTCATTCGGGAAGAAATAGACATTTGCAAGTATGGTTTACAACTAATATACAATTTTGACATCACAAGACTCCATCCAGTTGGCTCAAACTTAAAAAAGCATTTGAAAGATCATCCTAACAATCAAAATAGAAATAATTGGTAAACAGAAAAAGAGAAACAAAGAAGTGGAAATCAGCAGTCATATCCAATAAAGAAAGGGGCTAGAACACTCACACCATCAATATTCGAGGCGATGAAAAGATTGGGATCCAGTCATCTTAAATATGCACTTTCCATCATATTTTCCATTATAATTTCCTCAGAAGATTGGCTGCCCTGTGAGGAAAATAGCATTGCATAGAATACAATCGTGAATTACAAAACATAAGGTAGTAGTAGAACTACCACAATACCAGCAATCCCTGCCATAGCTTAAGAAATCAAAAGGCATTGATTATATTTAATAATGTACAGTGGGATATATGACTTACTAGTTATTCTCATTTCTCTACCAGTTTGAACATTTTTGTTAAACCATCCTCTTATACCAAAAATGAACTAAAGCTAAAGTGAACATAAAATCAATTAGCAACTTAAATATGGTACAGGTACTAAGTTTATAGTAATTGATGCTACCATAGAAAATCAATTATTACCTGGTCTAACAAAACCCGATAGACCAAATCCACAACCTTCATCAGAGAATCATCTCCTTTTGAGACAAAAAAAGAAAATTCTGTGGAACAAGCAAATGTATAGGTTGACAAATAATACATTGGAGAGGTAATTATATACCTTCACCAAAAAAAAAGCAAAAAAAAAAAAAAAAAAAAAGGTTTTAGATCACAGTGAATGACTCCTTGGAGATGACAAAAGGCAACTAAATCTAGAATTTGTACAAGAATTGCTTTTCTGTCATCCTCAGTGTATCATCCACCTCTTTACAACTATTCATATTACAAGAATCCAAGTAAAATCATGATTGTCAAACCAAACTATCCCAGAAGTCAAAAGCATGGAGGAAATATAAGTTATAAATGGTTGAAATGATGCATAGCATTTCATTTTCACCTTGAAAGAATTCTGTAGAGCTTAAGAAATATCATTTTTAACAAATGATACAAAACCCATGCTAATATATCTTTAAGGCATGATATAAGGAAAATAATGGCAGCTTTGTCAAGTAAAGGTCTCCATATCAACCTCAATTTACCCCACATTTACATGAGTATTCAAAACCAAGCATCAAATGTTACATATTTAGCATACATGCTAGGGGACAATAAGTAGGATAGACAAGGATAGTCTAAGTTGAAAAAGCAAACTAACCCACTGTAAATATATTTCTACACATTTGGATTGGACATTAAATGACATAATTGTCACTAAAACTTGTCGGAATGAATTAAGAAGCATGATTAGATATCAAAGAAAAAGCATCTAACTCAAATAAAAGTACATCCATATTTGATAGGGTTAAAGTGCATGTAACGAATATTGTTGCAGCTCAACATGCCAATTTTCCAGCCTCCAAAAACCAGCCTCAATATACACAAATTTCCATAGAAGCATACATATAGCACATAGTTTGGGGGTTACAAGCACCACACGAACAGATAAAAATATCTATGCATTCAGATTATCCATCAAATGATATAATTGTAATTGAGCAAGAGTGCATTGAGTATTCCATAGCCAAAAAAACCTCAGTTCAAACAAAAGCTTGGTCACTATTCTAAGGAACCACATCCCGTTTTGATAGAACTCAAGGTATGAATGTCAAAACATTAAAAACAGCTCTATAAGTCAAGCCCAAACATCTAAATCATTCTCAACAACCACATTAGCATCTCAGCATTTAACCCAAACATCAAAAGATAAATATAGATTATATGTTGGGGGCCACCAAGAGAATATCCATGTATAATCTAAGAGTAAAAGCAAAGTAATCCGCCAAAAAATATATTCCTGCATCTTTAGATAAGGAATCAAATCCCAAAGAAAAGCCATCAAAATAAAACGAGTACCGTCATTTCTCTAGCAAGCCACATTTCAATACAAGCATTCTGATGAAGCAATGATTTACATGTAGCATATTTTTGAGAGGACTA